GGCACCAGGACACCCTAGGCCACAGCTCGATGATCGACTTTGCTGTCGTTTCATCTGATCTGCAGCCACATGTTTTGGACACTCGGGTGAGGAGAGGGGCGGAGCTGTCAACTGACCACTACCTGGTGGTGAGTTGGCTCCGTTGATGGGGGAGGATGCCGGTCAGACCTGGCAGACCTAAACGTATAGTGTGTGTCTGCTGGGAATGTCTGTCAGAGTCTCCTGTCAGACGGAGCTTCAACTCACACCTCTGGGGGAACTTCAAACATGTTCCGGGTGAGGTGAGGGACATTGAGTCCACGTGGGCCATGTTCTGTGCCTCCATTGTCGAGGCAGCTTACCTGAGCTGTGGGCGTAAGGTTGTCGGTGCCTGTTGTGGCAGCAACGCTCGAACCCGCTGGTGGACACCAGCAGTGAGGGATGGTGTCAGGCTGTAGAAGGAGTCCTATCAGGTCTTTTTGGCCTGTGGGACTCTGGAAGCAGCCGATAGGTATCGGCAGTCCAAGCGGATTGCGGCTCGGGTGGTCGCTGAGGAAAAAACTCGGGTGTGGGAGGAGTTCGGAGAGGCTGCAGAAAGCGACTTCCATATGGTTTTGAGGTGATTCTGGTGTGCCATCTGGCGTCTCAGTGGGAGAAAGTGGTTCGCCACAACACTGTTTATGGTGGGGATGGTGTGCTGCTGACCTCAACTTGGGATGTTGTGGGTCGGTGGGCGGAATACTTCGAGGACCTCCTCAATCCTACTGACACGTCTTCCCATGAGGAGGCAGAGCCTGCGGACCCTGGATCGGACTCTCCAATCTCTGGTGCCGAGGTCACCGAGGTGGTTAAAAAGCTCCTCGATGGCAGGACGCCGGGGGTGGATGAGATTCGCCCAGAGTTCCTTAGGGCTCTGGATATTGTGGGGTTGCATTGGTTGACGCTACTCTACAATATCAYGTGGACATCGGGGGCAGTTCCCCTGGATTGGCAGACTGGGGTGGTGGTCCCCCTATTTAAAAAGGTGGGCTGCAGAGTGTGTTCCAACTATAGGGGGATCACACTTCTGAGCCTCCCTGGTAAGGTCTATTCGGGGGTTCTGGAGTGGAGGGTCCGTCGGATAGTCGAATCTTGGATTCAGGAAGAGCAGTGTGGTTTTCGTCCTCGTCGTGGAACAGCGGACCAGATCTACACCCTCAGCAGGGTCCTGGAGGGTGCATGGGAGTTYGTCCAACCAGTCTACATGTGTTTATTGGACTTGGAGAAGGCATTCRACCGTGTCCATCGGGGACTCCTGTGGGGGGTACTCTGGGAGTATGGGGTACCAGGCCCATTGATACGGGCTGTTAGRTCCCTGTTTGACCGGTGCCAGAGCTTGGTCCTCATTGCCGGTAGTAAGTCAGACTCGTTTCCAGTGAGAGTTGGACTCTGCCAAGGTTGACCTTTGTCACAGATTCTGTTCATAACTTTTATGGACAGAATTTCTAGGTGCAGCCAAGGTGTTGAGGGGATCTTTTTTAGTGACCTTAGGATCACATCTCTGCTTTTGCGGATGATGTGGTCCTATTGACATCATCAGATCGTGATCTCCAGCTCTCACTGGAGCAATTCGCAGCAGAGTGTGAAGCAGCCGGGATGAGGATCAGTGCCTCCAAATCCGAGACCATGGTCTTGAGCCGGAAACTGGTAGCGTGCCACCTCCGGGTTGGGGAGGAGGTCCTGCCCCAAGTGGAGGAGTTTAAGTATCTCGGGGTCTTGTTCACGAATGAGGGAAGAATTGAGCTGGAGATAGGCAGGCGGATTGGTACTGCGTCTGCAGTGATGCGGGAGCTGTACCGGTCTGTCGTGGTGAAGCGGGAGCTGAGCCAGAAGGCAAAGCTTTCGGTTTACCGGTCGGTCTACGTTCCTATCCTCATCTATGGTCACGAGCTTTGGGTAGTGACCAAAAGAACGAGATCGCGGATACAAGTGGCCAAAATGAGTTTCCTCTGCAGGGTGTCTGGGCTCTCTCTTAGAGATAGGGTGAGAAGCTCGGTCATCTGGGAGGGACTCAGAGTAGAGCCGCTGCTCCTCCACGTTGAGAGAAGCTAGTTGAGGTGGCTCGGGCATCTCGTTAGGATGCCTCCTGGACGCCTCCCTGGTGAGGTGTCCTGAGCATGTCCCACTGGGAGGAGGCCCAGGGGAAGACCCAGAACACGCTGGAGGGACTATGTTTCTCGGCTAGCCTGGGAGCACCTTGGGATCCCCCCGGACGAGCTGGTCCAAGTGGCTGGTGAGAGGGAAGTCTGGGTCTCTCTGCTTAGGCTGCTGCCCCCGTGACCCGATCCTGGATAAGCGGCAGAAAACGTAACAAAATGAAACTGTGTATTTGGTTATTGCATGGCCTCTCAGCTTCTACAAACCTAGACTATGATCGGTACACATTGAAGTGGGTTACACTTACAGCAATGATTTGAGGGAGGGGTGCTCAAAAACATCCAGCATAATAACACCCCCTCCAACCTTCTTGTGTCCTGAGTGATCTTTGACTTGATGTGTCTCCCCCTCTCTGTCCCTGCAGCATGAAGATACTCCTGCTGCTCCTCCTCCTCACCTCATGTCCCTCTGGTCAGTTTGGATCTTCAATTTCAGTCCAAAGAAGTGTGAACCACTGAGTTGTTGTATTTTGTCGTCTGTAGATGGAGTTTAAAGCCTCCATGTTCCAGTTGTCAGTGTGTCTGCTCCTCTGTGTCTCCTCAGCAGCAACATTTGTAGTGACTGTGAACCAGAGCTCCTATCAGGCAGAGGAGAACCAGGACATCAGCCTGGAGTAGACCTTCACTAGCAGACCTGACAGATCCTGGACACAGCTGTTTATCTACTGCAGTTTGTTAGCTCCTGTCAGAGAGGCAGTCCTGTATCAGGTCCATGAAGGCCTTGAGGTGTCAGAGTCTCAGGATCAACAGTTTGCAGGACGAGTCCTCTGTGACAAAGACGTCCTCAGAGAAGGACGCCTCAGACTGCATCTGTCCAAACTCAGGACTGAGGACTCTGGTCTGTATCAGTGTGAAGTGAAGACTGAAGATGGTTCTGGATTTAAAACCTGTCACCTGAATGTTTCTGGTAAGAAGATTTCAACTCTCTCCTCTTTGACTTGATGATAAAACTCAAACAAAACTCATCAGATTCAAGTTAAACAGACTTTATTTGATGGTTTGATGTTAGAATCTGTAAACAAATAGATTTCATTTCCTTCACAGCAGCTGCTGATCAGCTCCAAACTCACACACCAACCTGGACTCCACAACCTGAGGAACAGACATTAAACATCTGTTGTG